GAAGTAACGATATTAAACAATGAAAGTATCGATATTTAGGCATTGATACTGAATTACCAATACTATCGCCATATGGATACTTTAGAAGCAAATATCGTATCGCTATGTGTATGGTCAGGGATAATAAGGTTTGTTCAAATATTTGTACCGAAATATTTTAGTTTTCGCATGTGGTGATACTTGGTAATATGATTAAGCGTTACCACTGTTTTTTTGTTATTTAATTATAAGTTAAATTGCCAGTTATTGACACTACAACTTGTACCAGGTAGAGTACCTACCAGTAGAGAAAGAAAAGGTGTCAACTACAGAATATAATTTACTGATGCACTCTTGTTATTAGTTAAGTTCCCTACTCCGTCCTGTTGAATGGGGGTTTTCAGCCGTTTAAAAAAAATCTTTTACTTTTTCGATACTTTGTTACTCGAGACTTATAAATATCAATATCTTTAACATAATGTCGAACAGTATCGATACCTCTACCACAAAGTATCTCACATGATATCGGTATTGATACCTTTGACCGATACTCATAACCCTACTTCCAACTATAAAAATACAAAAACAGAGAACTCATATACCTACTGCCATCCTAGCAAGAGAGGTCCTATGTGAAAATTTGTTGTTTTAAAATAATCGAGTTTTTAACTATTATAAACAGATATATTTATTATCTTTTAAACCTTTTTTGTGTAACTTATTAACATTTTAGTATCTTTGATGCTAATAAGACATTCTGTTTCAGTATCAAGAAAGATAAAATGTAGACAAATGTACATAAATAAAAAAAAACTGCTAATTTTGTAGATAAAACCTTTCTTGCTAGGACAGCAGTATAGAAGTGCTCATGTAGTTCACTAAAGATAAATAACATTTAAATTTGTTATGTTTCAGTAAATTAAGTATTACCATTGCTGGACAGTAGTGACGTTTTGGTGGATAAATACAGCATTTCACTGGACATATACCTATGCCGTTTTGCTGTACATTTGCTGCACAATACCAATTGCTGGACAAACTTTAAAAATGCTTTACAATTCAGCAAAATTGCTGTAAGTATGGTCACCCTAGTGTAATAATATTTTAATCACTACAAATAAATTTTAAAAATATTGTGTTGTAGGTTTCCTTTGTGCTGGATTATAATTCATGTAAAAATCTCAGGAATTTTAGAAGCTAAAGTTAATAATACAGAATTGGTTGAAGAAGAATATATAACATCTGAAATTATTTCTTTTTCTTTCATCAGAATATCATGCTAAAAACATTGTTCTGTATAAGTTGAACATCCATTATTAAGTATCAAATTTGTAAAAATCAAAATAAAGGTTATTATTTATTTAGGAAAACAAAGTAAGTAAAAATCAACTAAAAATAGGTGCAGTTATTATTTATTTAAAAAACAAAGTAAAAATCAACTAAAAATAGGTGCAACGATTTAAAGGAACATATTTTTCATTTTCTTTATACATATTATTTTCTTTAATAATAAACAACTAAATTTATTATCTACAAAGTAATTTTTACGGAAGAAACTATATAATTAAGTTCACATATTTATTTGTTTACAGTATGCTACAGATACATAAATTCTAAATGATACATTTAAAATAAAATAAAAAAGAAATTAATAAAATTGTCATAGTATAAAAGTGAAGTCAATAGCGTAGTGAAAGTCGTTGCTTAAAAAAAACCTACTAAAATGTCATAATTTGAAAAATACTTATTGTAATTGGACATCAGTCGGTCTACAAATAAATTCTGTCCATAGTTAGTTGTTCTATGAGTATTTACATAGAATAGTTTAATCTGCCTAATAAGTCTGGCAGGAACAAAGAATCTAATAAAATGAGGAATAAACGATAGGCCCCTGTCAAAAATAACACCAAGATCATTTATAGTTTGCTCAACACAGTTCAGAACCTGCAATGACATAATCATGCATAATGATATTAGCTGTTTTATTAAACCTTATGATTTTACATTTATCGACATTCAGTTTAATCAAGTTATATGGTATTAAAACTATGATTAGTACCAGTTGTAGGCAAATATCTTTTTTAGCATTGCACAACTGCCATCTTAATAAAAATCTAGTGACCTTTGAAATATACCTTATATAAATACTTTTTACTACTTTTCTACAATCGTTCACCATTTTAGCTACTAGTGAGCCTTTGCAATATAGGTACCTTATTATACTCTTTCGTGTAAGCGTTCAATGTTTTCGATTCTAGTGAATCTTTGAGGATATTCCTTATATACCCTTTATACCTACTTTTGTCCAATTTGTCAGTGTTTTATAGCTACCTTATGGTATCACACATGTGTAATTGCATTACCTGTATTATTACCTACCTCTACTTGTATGATATTGGTACTTGATTTCAATAGCTTTTTAATAATAAATTTATACAATTTTTTTATTTTGTTTTCTTCAGATTTTACTATATCCTTAATATACTATTTTGAATATAGTGTATCCAAGGATGGACATAACTATACTTGTAAAGATATTTATTTTAAATTTTTCAAAAGAGGTATTTTTCATAATTTCTCAACGTTAATCGTATTTATTTAACAAGCAAAAGAAATTATGAAGAAGTACTTTAAAATTTAAAATAAATATTTTTATAAGTATTGTTAAGTCGATCCGTGGACACACTGTATAATGCTGTAGAAGGAATTCACATTAGAACATCTATAGAAAGTTTCAGAGCAACTTTCGGGGTAAGTACCGTAAAAGTGCTAGTGTGATGTTTTCCGAACTTCACTTTATAACTTCTACGAGATGTGCTATAAAAGTCTTGCCGTTGCGGACATTCGGTAGTTGCAGGGATAATAGGGTTACATTTACAGTACATTGCATGCGAGCTTAAAGAGCCTAAAATTGCAGCTTATTAACGTAGATGGGATATTTTTGTGCTAGCTGGGTAGAGATAAGGAGAGATGAATCGGCATACTCAAAATATGGTCACAAAAAACGCATGCTAATTGAGCTTCTATAATTAACCGCATGGGCGCTGGTACTGCATGCGGTGTCCAAAATACATGGCTTACTATGGGAATTATACCTAATTTTGTCTAAATAATAAAAATAAACTTGTTTATAGCTAAATAAAGCACAGAACATGCTGTTATATTTATTTCTAAATAAGTCTTGTCTGTTTAAATTGACAAATTATTTAATTTTATCTGTATAAAATACAAATTAGGTATGTATGACCAAATTCGAAAAGGTTTCTTAAATGTTGAAATTTGATAAGTACAATTTTGTGTCAAATTTTTTTTTGATTTGAACCAATATATATATATATATATATTGTTATGTTAATTGTTATAATTATTTTTTTTAATATAATTTATTTTAATTTTTTTTTTAACACTCTGTATATGTATAACACAATTTATCTTTTTTTTAATAATAAACTATTTTGTTGTTAATTTTTTTTTGTACGCCACTGATTTTAATATTTTAATTTATTTATATTTCATTTAAACAAATTTCACTTACCTTTTTCTTTTATTTATTTATTTTTTTTAATCACCAGCTAGCTCAATTCCCTTCATACACTATTTTATTTTAAGAGCAGAGATCTCTTATCTCCAAAGGAGTGGTTTCCATTTGTTAATTTAAATAATACAATTTTTGAATTATTAGTTATTACAAATGAATTTGATTTTATTTAATATTGAATGAATTTCAATACACCCTGTAGATAATATTAGTTTTTTTTTATGCCAAAATGTTTATTATTTTAATATTCTCTTTCAACACTCTGTATATATTTATTTTTCTTTTTTTTTTTTAATGAATATACTGTATTCTTTATTTTACCTGTATATTTAATTTTCCATAATAAAACCAATTCTAATTATCAAATAAACACTGAAATACTACAAAATACATATATAATTTCAACAAATAAACAATTTTAAACATGTGTACTACAGTTTTCTGTTGTACATTAAAATACCCTATGAATGAATAATAACCTTGTACCATGTTAGGTACCTAAAATATAAGAAAATGTTTCATCTATCTATATTACAATGTCAAAACAAATTAGATGTTTTTGTGTGTAAATAGCAAACGTCATTAAATTATCTTGCAATTATAAAACAAACTGAACATTTTTAAACAAATGTACCACAATTTTTGTTGTACATTAAACTTAACTATGAATAAACCTGTACCATGTTAGGTACACAAAATTTAAGAGAATGTTACATCTATCTATATTGATTGCAATGTGAAAACGACTTTTGAAGTTTCCCAGTTTTAATATTCTTAACCAAGAATTTTAGACTTGTGTACGCCAAAATACATGTCTAAAGGCTGTATGTCACGATGCTAAATTTAGTACTAAATTTAGTACTAAATTTAGTACTAAATTAATGCATTTTTTAAGTTCTAAAAAAATTCACGTTGCAAACAGCAAATTTAGTACTAAATTTAGCACTAAAAAATAAATTAATTGGTTCTATTTTCTACTAAATTTAGTACTAAAAATGCGTCGAAATGTTGCGCAGTAGCTTTGGTTTATAAAAAAGTTGACACAACTGTCGAACTGTCTCTGTGCCATTTTGTTTTTGGTTAGCGTTAGGCCGTTAGCGATGGTCTGTGTTACCTGTGTTAGCGACATTTGGCATTGCGTGTGATTTTGTAGGTTTTATCGTGGATTTTTCGTGTTTTCTTGTGGTTTTTTTCGTGTTTTCTTGTGGTTTTTAGCAGCATTGCTGTCTTTAGTTGTTTTATATATATATATATATATATATATATATATATATATATATATATATATATAGGTTTAGACATTTTTTTAGTAATAATAGGCATTTATCCTGTAAAGGAAAATTGTAAGTATTTTATTATTTTTATACATTTTTATTACCTAATTTCTCTTTGACTAATCCCACAGGACTACCCTTTTTGTGAGTTAACAATTTAATTTAAATTGCAGATAGTAAGTTTGCGAGTTCTTCCTTCCGGATTCCGAATGTCTTGGACTAGACAGGAAGTGTCAATTCTGATTGAGGAGTATCAGAAATACCCTTGCTTGTATCAAGTAAAAGACAAGCAATACAAAAATAAACACGCAAGAATGAGAGCTCTTGTATCAATAAAAAATGCACTTACACCTATGAAAGAAGATGTTGAAATACCTGAAATTAAATCAAAGTTTAACAACTTAAAAACAAATGTTCTTCAGGAATATCGAAAGGTGCAAAAGTCGAAATCTAGTGGATCCGGAACAGACGAGGTAAACAACTAATCATGATATATTTACTTATAATCTGTGGATAATCTTAATTACAAAATGTGTATAATTTTAACCCTCGCCTAGCAAATGTCATTTTTAAACAAAGCTTCCTGCTTAATATGCAATATACTTTAACTAATATAAAATATATTTTGTTAATAGTACTTAACAAACTGTAAAATTTATTACTATAGGTATCGAGATTATCTCCTGGTAGTAAACATATTTTAATGCTAAATAAGGCTTAATTCCACCGCAAGTAGTTAAGAGATAAACCAGGATCAAAGTGACATTTTTACATTAACAATGTCATTTTAATCTTGGCTTAGTAATTTAAACTTCATTTAACACAACAGTGGAATTGACCCTAAGCAATATACTTTAAATAATATAAAATATATTTTCAGTTGTATGAGCCAACACTCTGGTACTATAGGGCTATGCTATTTGTACTTGACCACACAGTACCACGAAAAGCTTTAGATTCTTTGAGTGAAGATATATTTGACGAATTAAGAGATGAGAATGTGTCTCAAACATATACAGTTATGAATGATGGGGAACTGTTCGAGGAAGAAATTGAATTGGAACAAGGAGAAAACATTGAAAATATAAGGCCAAATATTTCTTCTAGTGATAGCGAAAGGCCTCAGAGTTCATCCACTATTTTGAGCAATGCTCAAGTAACACCAACTTTTCAAAATAATGAAACTAGCGGACCTAGAAGAGGGAAAAAAAGAAACATAGATGAAGAGTCTAGATACTTAATGGAGACGGCAAACGCAATGAAGAATATATCATCATATATAGGACAAGAGAAGGAAAAGAAGGAAGAAGAAAAGGATGAGTCTGAAATATTTGGAAATTTTGTGGCTTCTAAAATGCGACAAATTTCAGACGAATCTATAAAATTAGAAACAGAACAAAAAATTGTAAAATGTTTATTTGAGGGAATAATGGCTTCACGGAAAGACTAATTATTTCAATATACTAATTAAATTATACTAACTTTTACATTTTATTTCAAACCTTTAATGCATAAACAGCAAGAACACCTGACATTTATATAAATATTATAATACAAGTAATTCAGGGGCATGCCTAGTTTCTTGGGGGCCCTTCTCAAAAAAAAGTAAACAAAAAATGTTATATATTTTTTTATTAAATACTATAACATAGAAAAACATAAGTACTAATGTGGTAAAAAAAAAAACAAATTATATACAATAAAATAACATAAAAATGAACCAAATATCAAAAATAATCATACCTACTCGGGTTTAAGCAAAACCAAAATTAAGAAATAATAGAATAAAAAATAATTTACATTTGCCAGTAAAAAAAATATGTAATACAATAACAATTGGCAAATATTAGGTATGGTGTTAGATAATTAATACCGATTCTTCCACACCACCCTTCATTAAATTATTCTAAGCTTAATTAAAAAAAATATATCTTCTTATATATGTATAAAACAAAGTTTAAGATTCTCACATATAATGGTACAGTAACAAAATGCAATGAACAAATATAAGAACATTAGCATATAGATAAATATGGGACAGAACTAAAGACTGATAAATTTTTTAGTTTCAATATTCAATTCCGATCTGTGAGGATAAATGGACGGCGTTATGCAGAAAACTACCAACCCACAATATACCAGATATTAGGTTGTGCGGATTTGGGTAATAAAATACAAGTTCTGCATTCTATAAGAATTTACAAAGTCTCAGTTAATTATATACACTATAAAACTATATCCCATAGCTTTCTTAAACGAACAAAAACATTAGAGCTGATTATCTCAGTTTGTTACTATTGAGGGTTGGTAGCTTTCTGCATAACGCCGTCCAAATTAATTTTAAAAGAATAAGCCTTTTTAATTTTATCAGTAATATGTTTATTAAATCGAAGTTAGGAGTCTATGATTAAACCCAAATTCTTAAAGTATTCTTGAACTTCTAAAGTTTGATTATTAAGTTCAATTTTTAGATAAGGCAAGAGAGTTGACCTTTGAAGATCATCACAAAATAAGATATTTGATTTTTTTTGGATTAATTTTAAGATGGTGCTTGTCCGATAGTGACACAATTGTGGCTAGATCAGTATTGATATTGTTAACGGCCTCGCAAATTCTGGCTGTTTTAAAAGAATAATAAATTTGGGTGTTGTCTGCCATATTTACAGTGTCTTAGATAGTTGTGAAAATACGAAGTGTACCAAGTTAAAAACAGCGGACCTGGGGCACACCCTGCTGAATGTCAATTTCATCATATAATTTGTCCTAAACAGTTACTTGCTGCACTCTATTTGTAAGATACAACTTTAAAAGAGAGCATGAATTTTCACTCAAACCAATGTAGTGAAATATAGCGAACATTTTCTAATGATTTAAGGTATCGAATGCTCTGAAGTAGTCAATTAGTACTAGAATACATGCATCATTATTGTCTAATGATTGCACTATGTCATCTGTTACAGAAGTAAGGGCCGTTGTGCAACTGTATCTGCTTCTCAACCCTGATTGGTTTAAGGGCAAGATATTAAATTTGTTGACATAAGAGGAAATGCGCTTTTCTAAAACCTTTTTAAATAATTTAGACATTGTGGGAAGAATACTAATGCTTGTTAGATTCAAAAATTGAGTAGAGTGCGTATTTTTAGGAATAGGGATCACAAAATGTGTTTCCATACAGTAGGAAAAAAATTACTATCAATGCAGTTATTAATAATATATGGACAATAAATGGACAATAAATGGACAACAGAGTAATAAAATTTCAATATTTATTTGATCAAAGCCAATCACTTTTTTAATATATGGAACAATTCTTCCTGTGTAGTATGGGTAAATAAAAGAGTATATTCCACAGTTGGTATTACATTATTTTTGTAGTATTCTATAATATTTGTGTCTGGTTTACAATCATCCCTGGAATCATTAACAAAAAATGATTTAACTCATAAATAAGTACTTAAATACAATTTTCTTCTGAGGTAAACTATATTTATGGAGCTTGTATTATGGATTTATGATTTTTTTTTTAAATTTCAACCCTCCTTAACCCACCTATTTTAAATCAATAGGATTGTCCCATTGCAAAGCTCGATTTTTCCTAAAAAATTCAAGTTTATATTGATTTATTTAAATTTTAACCTCCCCTTAATCTACTATTTTTTAATAAATGAATAGGCTTCATTGCAGAACTTGATTTTTCCTGAAAATTTCAAGTTGATATGTTTTTTTGATTTATTAATTTTTTAAATTATAACCTTAACCCCCCCGTTTTTATTCAGATTTTTTTTTAAATTAATAGGCTTCCTTCCATTGTAAAGCTTGATTTTGCCGGAAAATTTCAAGTTGATATTGTTATTATTTTATGATTTTTTCAAAATCAATAGAGATTGATATTGTTTTTCGATTTTGACTTATTGTGCGGACAAAAAACAATACATCGCATAGCGGACAGACATTTTTAAAAGTTATTTAAAATTGATGAAAAGGATTTTAATACAATTTTTTTTTAAATTTGGGTGAATATTAAAAGCTTTGGTTTCTTAAAAGTAAATCTATAATACTCTTCATAGACTACACTATGTGAAGAGTATAATAGGAAGACACTTGATGTTTAAAGATTGTTTTTATTAATTGAATCTTCCTGCCATGAAACTTGTCCAGTTATATTATTTTTAATGGAACACCCTGTTTTTTATTTTAGAATTAAAAACTACATCAAAAATAATGTCAGTTAACTAAAGGTTCCCTATTACTATTATTATTAGTTTTCGATTTATTTGAGTTTTTAAGGAAAAAAAGTCTCCCAGAAATTAATTGTTTACTCTTGTTTGAATAATTTTTAATGAACTAATTTTTTTTTTCTTATGTGGGACATCCTGTATACATCTTACAAATTTTAAATTGTAGCCGTCTGTAACCTACGTATTCCTCTCAAACGAATTTTTTATATCTTTGGTCGTTTTCCCATAAAGCTCCGTCCCGTTGAGCGTGAGCCACCCTGTATAGTTACACGTCACATAATTAATTTAATTTGTAAATTGTGTAGTAGGAAAATGGTTGCCAGTATCGCATCATCCTGGAAATATCTAATTCGTATTCTTGGAGACTTGTCTCGATTCTGCTTACGATCCTTTAAGTCTTTCAAAGTCATCCGTTTTTTCCACAGGTACAGTCTGAAGAACATCTAAAGCATCCCCTTGAAAGGCGATGGTCACATTTACTGACTTTTCTCGTTCAAACGTCCACGACGAGATTAAAAAATAATTGGGCAGTATAAGAACCGATAATTGGATCAATCTCTTAGGGCTAAGACACGCTAAGATACTTCTGGGTGAATATAACCAGGAAACCATGGCAGGAAACATCGGAAGCCTGTGTGAGATCTGTATACCCATTTATAAATGGTAATGTTAGTACCCGTGACGCCATCTATGTTTTCTTAATATAAGTGTTTCTCCTTATATCACAGTCATCTGTAGTCTGTGACCCCGTAGGATTATAGATCGTACGTAGATGCCGCCACGAGTACTAAATAAGAGTCAGATGCGCATTGTCTCGTATTACAAGTTCGTATTTCATCTTGAGTTTTGTCTTGTATTGTAACCATTACTGAATTACTGTGTTTATCAGAATACTAGAGAATAAAAGCTTACAACAAGGTGTTGTTTTATTGAGTAGTGTATAAATAAGGCATACATCACAGCCTGCATCTGCCTGAGCAAGAACAGGCTTCGTATTGTAACAGGGATCCTTACCGGGCATTATCGACTTAGAGGACACCTTAGTAAACTGAGAGTAGTAGACGATAGTGAGTGCAGATTCTGTGAGGAGGAGGACGAAACCTCCATTCACATTCTAACTGAATGTGCAGTACTCCAGAATCCAAGGGCACTATACCTAGTAGGAGGATACCAAATGGAAAAGAGAGAGAGATTTACCTAACACGAAGCCACTCCAAATCCTACACTTCCTTGGAATAAATATTTTAGGTCGCAGTGTATTAACACCCCATTCCTAATAACATCTCAAGTGAATGTATATTATATTTACTTATCACGTCTCATAATTAATTTAATTTGTAAATTGTGTGGTAGGAAAATTGTTGGGTTTCATTTATCTGTAGTTAATGAATATTAGTTTTAGTTATCTAGGTACCTGTCACATAATTATTTGATTTATAAATTATGTGAAAGGAAAATTGTTGGCAACTAAATTATTATTATTATAATCACCCCATTATCCATTATTAATTGTTATTAAACCAAATGAGTACAATAACACAACGTCTCTAAAAAATTGCTTAACGTTGTTCTATTTCTAACTGACAAGAATTCATCGAAATTAAGTTTTATTATTTAAAATATTGTGTATTAGAAAACCTTGGCAATATTTTAAAACGGTAATTATGAACTTATCATTTATTACATAAGTATCGCTTTATTCTAAACTGTTATTATAACATTTGTCTTTGTTTTGTTTTCCAGATCTAACCCAACTATTTAATAAAATGAATTACAATTGTTTTTTTAACCCTACTTTCCCAATTATTAAAAACCATAAATATTTTGTGCACAAAATTTAATTAATTTAAAAGGGACTAACAATAAACAGATACTTTATTATATTTTTTATTACATATATAAGCGGTACTCGTAACAAATCAATAAAAATAATTTACAAAAGAATCGATATTATTAAAAAATATTGATACAAAAATTTAGAATTTATAAAACCTATCATTGCAACGTTTATTCAAATTGTGTATAAAAATAATGTATGTTTTTAATTTAAAAAATATATGTATTGGTCGACTGAAAAATTAATTTTTGACGGTTTTCTATAAACATCTCATATTAGAAACATTGGCCGTGTTCATCGTCGTCAAACATGTTGTAACGCTGAGTAAGCGGTGACGATGAACTGTCAACCGCTGCAGCGCTTTTGAAGAAGCATAAAAGCGAAAATAAACTCGCTTGTTCGCTTTAAAAGCATAAAATTGACCTTGAACCCCTGTCAATTCCGTCTTTTGGCATTTTGTTAGGTTATGTGTTTGTTTATTTATTTATTTATATTTTTAAGGTTTTATGCCCTAATAGAGTTGATTAGTTAAGTTGCATTTTAATATAATATTGTATTTATGGAGGTACCTGTTTGAAGAAACTAAAATTAATTCCAGACGTAGATACATACACGTATGCTTAAATTATTTCATTTGGACGTTAATGGGATTCCACCAGTAAGGAATATGGATAATATAACATACCTACATATTATATAGTTTTAGCACAGAGTTATTCAAAACAGACGAGTTTTGTTATTAAAACTGCACCGATGTTTTTTGTTGTCATGCAATGTATATAGGGCATTAAAAAATAAATAATAATAATAAAAGTATGACATTTTATTTACAAAATAAATTAAATATAAGCAATTATATTAAAAAGGGCCCATCTTGGTTTGTTGAACCTATAAAAAAATACCTCATTACTGTATACATTTCAAATAATTTTTGCTAATAAGTCGCTCTACCTATATGACAACATTAAATTTGTATATTTATTAATTTCCAATACAAAATATATCATTCCTATAAAAGAATTACTGTATGTAGTTTGTCGACAAGGTATGTATAACTCTATAATACTAGACAAATTTTATGGATACATAAAAATAATTCAGACTCAATGAATATTAGCAATGACCAAAAATGTATAACACCTAAGTACCTACATAAAAAATACTTTGTAAAAAAATAAGTAAAGCATTAGATAGGGATTATTTTAACAATTTTCGGTTTTGTAATAAAACGTTATCATTTCTTACCTCACAGCAAGAAGCCTGTAAATTTTAAAAAGCAATTTTTCATTATTTTTAATGTAGAATAACAACAGTAAGATTGTAGTAAAAGTAAAACAATAATATAATAAAAAAATGTATTAAAAATAAGTGAAATAACAGAATTTTATGTTTATTTATTAAAAATTAGAAAAGCGAAATAAAACTTGTTTAGTGGGCTGATTTTCTATATTTTAGTTTTTAAATGGGAGTGGAACTGTTGACGTGACTTGTTTATGTTATGCTTGGCTTTCAATACTGATACTTCAAATTAAGTGTTTTTTCACTAGCACATATTTATATGAGATACCACTCTTTTTTGAAAAATGTTTTGAATCAGATCACATTTTCTTTTAAAGCGGGACATTTTTGCATTCTTTGGGGACAATGGTACACATAGCTTGAAAATAGGTTTGTCTTGCCTAAAGCGGGACTTATGATGTTAGGTATGACTCAAAAATAAAAGTTTACTTCAGGTTGATTTTTATCTCTTCCTCCTTTTTCGATTCAGTTAGTTTTGAACTGGTTTGAGACACATGCCTCAAGTTCTGGGCTGGAGTCCAGTTTAAATGATTACTAACTTCGAAGGAACTCTGTTTTCCTAAAAATAAGAAAGTCATACTTGATGTCTCTATTATTATACACTTTTATGTATCCTTGATATATGTAAAAAGATCACTTTTTGAGATGTATGTTATTAGTATCATGAGTTCCTTTACTTTAATTTATTGGTGCAGACCAGACAGTTGATTAAACACAATACACAATAAATAGCATTCTCATTCTGCTCTTCAAAGTATGATCTAGTTACAGTATGTTTTTATTTGTGTGTCAGAAAAATGTATTTTACCTGTAATAAAATGACTATTACAATTTCTTTGATTAGTCTAAGTATGTATGTAGAATTCAAGATCCATAGAGGCAATAAAAACATCATGACTTTACAACCCAAAATAATACAAGTTGTAGGTTTTTCGCCGTAAAATTGTCAAAACCACTTTCAGAAGGGTACTTATATAAACTCTAATTCACTGTACAAATCAATTCAACTCAAATTTTTTAAAAAAATATTAAAGTAAACAATTCACATAACCTTCTTTGTGCCAACCAAATGTCATTCCATTTTTTGACAGATTTGAGGTTGAGAAAACAAATCGTAAACAAAAATGATCGTTCAGCGTCATTCCAACCGCTTATGAAACATGTTTCTTTGCTTTTAAAACATGTTTGACGACGATGAACACGGCCATTGATCCATTGAAATATCTTAAAACTATAATATAAATCAAAAGCATTTCTATTGACATTTATTTGATACGCTACTGGATAATAAAACTAACAAACCCCGCTCTTCCCCTCCTAACAACTGGCTTGTATATGTTGCTTTCAAACAAACGCAATGTAAATTTTTGACATTCAGTTATCTATTATTATTTATTTATCTGAGCTAATAATAAGAAAGAATATCTATAAATTCGGTATGCATTTATAGCGAGGAGAGCAGATGTTATCTTTCCTTAGAAACGACGGTTGTCAGGCGGTATAAACAGTTTTTGGGCAGTTTTTGATGTTTCTGGCAGACATTTTGAATTTTAATGACCTAAAAATTAAAATTGAAAGAATTAAAGTTAAATTCAACAAAAAAATATTCAAAACTAAGATAATCATTTTGAAATAAATTTGTTTATAAACAAATATAAAAAAAAATAGAGGTTAGTTGTAGTAATTTGTAATATAAGGTAGGAAATAGTTACCTGGTGTATCGGAAGAAAGAACTAGATGGAATCTTCAAGGAATTCACATATGTCTAATAAGAAATTAGGCTAGAAAATACTTGGCGTGGAGCTGGAGAAATCACGTGCTGGAATACAGATAAGTGGTAACCTAAAATAAACTTTTATACATAAATTGCCAGTAAAATAGATACGTTCAATATTCCTAAAGATTGCACCAATTACTTACCAATTATATCGTAAATTCATATACAGACGGCAAGAGTGTAATAATTGCAGTTGCATTTTGTCAACAAACATTAACAAACGTGAAATTAAACTAGAATTTGTGGTTTATCAAAGATTTAATAAGGTACCCAGCTAGCACATAACGTTACCAAGCCTTTCGGCGATGTTGTTTTAAGGGAACATAATAACATACCCATACAACGTAATTGCAACGTTAATGAGAAGTTGTTGAGGGAAATCAAAACCTCGCGAAACATCTATTTGTTACTTACGTATTTAACCTGCCTGTTATGATAACACAACGTAATTAAGTAACTTGCTAAAAAAGTTTCCACGAGAAGTACTATGGACTTTCGAACGTAGCCATTCGTTTGTCATAACCAACAAAACATAAAAAAATGTCACTTGTCACTTTTTCTTGTACGTATTTCAGATTTTAAAGATATTGGAAACTATACGTTTGAATAAGTTTGGTAAGTTGTTTTCTTCTTTTCATTAAATTTTCTAATTTTCTAATTTATTGTCTGTTGTTTTAGATGGTACAATTTCAATTTCCAAATACAATAAAAAATAAATCATTGTAAACAAGTAGATACAATTAAATGATGAAATATTTATTTTACACGATAATAGGGATCTTATTGATGCCTTAATACTATAGAAGTAACGATATTAAACAATGAAAGTATCGATATTTAGGCACTGAATTACCAATACTATCGCCATAGTGATACTTAGAAGCAAGTATTGTATCGCTATGTGTGTGGTCAGAGATTATAAGGTTTGTTCAAATATTTGTACTGAAATATTTTAGTTTTTGCATGTGGTGAAACTTGGTAATATGATTAAGCGTTACCACTGTTTTTTTGTTATTTAATTATAAGGTAAATTGCCAGTTATTGACACTATAACTTGTACCAGGTAGAGTACCAGTAGAGAAAGAAAAGGTGTCGACTACAGAATATACTTTACTGATGCACTCTTGTTATTAGTTAAGTTGCCTACTCCGTCCTGTTGAATGGGGGTTGCCAGCCGTTTAACAAAAATCTTTTACTTTTTCGATACTTTGTTACTCGAGACTTATAAATATCAATATCTTTAACATAATATCGAACAGTATCGATGCCTCTACCACAAAGTATCTCA